AATTTGTTATACAAGTGGTATAAATATTAAAAGTGAAAAAACGTGCGATATCTCGATTTTTATGTTATTACTTTTTTTCTTGTTTTTTTTTTTTGATTAATTTACTTTATTTATATATATATATTTAAATATAAATATTGAAAAAGATTTTCTTTGATTGTACACGTGTGGCGTGTGTATACGCGTATAAATTTGAGAGAGAGAAAAAAAAAGATAATAAAAAGATAAAAAAAAAAAAAAAGATCGTCAAAAAACGTGATCGGATATGCATCATTGACATTTCTTTTAGTAGTGGCCGTGTTGTATGCTTGTATCTGTTTATCCTTTTTTTTTTTTTTTTTTTTTTTTTTTTTTTTCTTTTAAATGACTCGAGCGTAGGGTGCACGCCCTTTACAAAATGATTTTTTTCTTTGCACCACAGTGCTCAAAAATCCTAATTGGCATCTTTTTTATGAGAGATAAAGAAAGAGAAATAATAATATTAATAATAATAATAATAATAATAGAGTAGACGAAATGTTTAAGAAGAAGAAAAAGAAAAAGTAAAATCGAATTTTTTTACACACTTGACTGTCGACATCGGGTATAAATTTTATTATACTGCAAGCTTCTTTTTTTTTATATATATATATATAAATTTCGCGTGTTACACAATGGAAAGAAAAAATGTGTGAGAGAGAGAGAGAGAGAGAGAGAGAGAGATAAATAAAAAAATAAATAAATTGTTATAGAACAGAGGTAACGAAAGTTTAAAAAAAAAAAAGAAAAAAAAATAGAGGAAAAGAAAATTGAGGCACGAAAAATGGCTTTTTTACTCTTTTTTTTTTTTTTCTCTCTTAAACAATAAAAAAAATAAACACAAGCTTCGCATGTTGAAGAAAAAGATACACGAGCGCGCGCACATATGATAAATAAATAAATAAATAAATAAATAAATGAATAAATAAATAAATGAATGAATAGCTCTTGGGGTTGGGGCCGGGGGGAGGAAAGAAGAATTGTTCGAAAGTTCATAGAGGGGATTTTTTGAAATTAATTAGAACAAACGGATTGCGTGAATGTTTTTTTTTTTTTT